TGTTAAAACTGAATAAGTCGCCAATAATGCGTGCAATTGCCTTCTACTGAAATCGCGGATTGTTTTCACCAGCGTGTTATTTAGGCCGTAAACGCATTTACGTGGGTGTTTATTCTCTCTAAATTACAAATTTTGGCAACGATAACGATGATATATATTTATTTTATTTTATTACTTGCACGGAATTGTGAATTCGATGAGAGTAAATATATGTTCATCGGCGGCGAGATTCTAAAGACAAATTAAGGAATGAATCCGCGATCTAAATTTTTTGATTGAAGAGCGGCAATATAAATTACTGAAAATAAAACCGTAAACAATATAAGGTATGTAGAGTCCCGCGACAGTCTAAAAACGCTTTTATATGCATTGAAAATCGCAAAATTTCATGTACCTACGGCACACATTATTTTTGTCGAAGTTTAGAAACATACGTCACTAAAAATGAAACGCGGTTAATTGTGGGTGGAATTTGAATTTTTATCCATTTCTTTAAAATTGTGGTCGAAAATTTTACTGTTATCATAAACCGACTTTTCCCCAGTTTGTGATGCTATATATTTATAAGATAATTAATCTGAAGCAGTGGTTCTCAACCGTGGACCGGTGCCGGTCCGCGACAACCTCGCTGCCGGTCCGCCAAATATGTTTCAATATCAATATATTATAAGCAAATTGCAAAATACAAGAGATTGACGGCATGTCCATCAATTTTGTGTTTTTCCAACTCTTATTGATTCGTAGCAACAGTATTCGTCTAACAACCAAACTTGGTCCTCTGCCCATTTTAATCTCTGAACGGCTGGACGTTCGTGAAGTTTATGACTTCATAATGGCGGCTAACGTCATAATGAAGGAGTTTGATAGTACATAGTATGGTACCTGATTGAGAACTTCGCAGTTCGCACGTTTCGTAATTTGACAGTAGGCCTATAATTTAGAGAGGTATGATAGTAACTCTCATCAAGACCAACCAGAGAAATCGTGTGGAAGTCAACGCTCTACTTCGCCTTGCAGCAACTTCATTAGCACCGCATTTAACACGTATATCAAAAAGACAGCAGCACCGCGACCACCGGTTCAGCCTGCATTTATTCTCGAATAAAAAGATATGGACTAAGGTCAACTACTCATTCGGGTGCAACACGACAAAAAAAGAAAAATACTATTGGCGCTGTAGCACCGTCTCTCAATTGCATTTACTAATAGGCCTACCCGCCGAACAGCACAAATTTCATTTTCCAATCCTAGTCACTTGTGTGCGCGTGTTTAACAGAAATTGAGCGACCCTGGAAAATCTTCACGCAACCCCACCCAGGGTCGCGCGTCCAACAGTTTGGGAATCACTGTGATAGCATATAGTACGGCACCTGATTGAGAAGTTCGCACGTTCCGTAAATTGACAGTAGGCCTTTAATTCAGCGAGGTTTGATAGTAAATTAGAGGCAAACAAACAGCAAAGTATTATACGATAAGACCTTGCAGCAATGTTGAAAAAGATCACGCAGAAACAAGCAAAAAACGAAAAGGAGGCTTTATTAGCCAGTATGATAAGTACTATTTGAAGCTAGGTTTGACTATTGCTCCCAGAAGCAAAAAAGTACCGCTTCCCATGTGCCTAGTCTGCGCCAAAAATCTTCCAAACGACGCAAGGAAACCCGCGAAGCTAACGCGACATTTTCACCCGCAGCATCGCAACCTCGTTGGAAAGCCTGCCGCGTATTTCATTGTACTTTTGTAGTAATTGCATTATTTTGATTCTGTTTTGTGTTCATGACATTCTTGGTTAATTTTGAAGGTCCGCCGGTCCGCAAAATTTGTTTTGAAATTTACCGGCCCGCGAACTGAAAAAAGGTTGAGAACCACTGATCTAAAGTATATTTGATCAATTTTTATTGTACTGAAATAAAACTCGGTGAGATTTTACAGCAGATTTATGGATTTTTTTCGGAACGTTTTATCTTTAAAAATAATCGGAGTGCGACTGAGCGGAGTCAGTGTATATCTCAAATTTGTCGATTTCGCAAAAAAGCAAAATACGGATCAGACCAATATATAATCGAGCAGTTTACCACACATTTTTATGTCCGCGGAATGCCGTGGTGTTTTAGAGTGGCTCTTGTTTTGTCGACGCAACTAAGTTTAAATTGAAGAGGAAGGTTAATTAATAAAGCAAGACATTTTAAATATGCCTGTACCAGTCATTAATTGATTACTTAGCACAAGAGAAAAATCATTTTTCGTTTAAAAATTCGGATCTTTTAACAAGTGACCTAATCGCGGCGACTGTTGGGCGTGGATTTCGAGACCGTGAATTTGTATTTTTAATTTACTGGTATACTTTATATGTATTTTCATTGTATGAAGTAAAATTGTACTAAACGGGATTTTATATCAGATATCGAGATTTTAATAACAGCGATAACAAGTTCGCAAGATTGCAAAAATATGTATCAAAATTAAATACATCAGGCAGCTTATCTCATATTTTTATGTCCAAGGTTGCCATGGTATTTTGTGTAGGAATGTTTTTATTTTGACGTAGGAAGTCGCAACCTCGAGTTACGTTGGACACAATTAAATTAATATATAAGGACATTTTAGAATCTCGTAGTTGTCATGGATTGAATATTTTAGGCGACAAAAAGTATATTATAAAATATATTATACGCTGAAAAGGCGGCTCTATTAACGAGCGCGTCATCGTGGTGACTGTTACAGACGCCACTTGAAATTTCCGATTTTGAAACCCCCCCTTTTGAAAATCCTGGCTGCGCGCCTGTTCACAACAGTCCAGAATACTGATTAAGGGCCTCACTGATTAATTCATAATTTTTAAATAAACTTACATTGTTTTCTAGGACAGAGCTGATTCTTCCATCATTCTTGTAAACATACCAGTTAATATCTTGTAAATTTTTTAATGTCTGTTTTTCACCTTGCTGCAAGATACTTTGCAATATCAATTCTTGGGTGTGTGTATAATCATTGCCCATTCCCAGGGTCAACAGACTTAAATGAGGTTGACAATCAGCAGCATGAGCTTCAACTTCGAATGGACATGCCTGGTTATTGAATAAAACATTGTTCTTGCACATTTCCAGGAATGGAAAAAGTAGTAAATTTTCTGAAATCGTCTATATTATTTGAACGAGTGATGTGAAAAATCACAAAATGAATTATCAACATTGAAAGAATCATATTATATCAATTTGGAATTCAAAGTCCATTTTTATATGTATGTCCATTGAATACTTGAATATGATAAATAAATCGGTCCATGGATGTTAAATATGATACCTGGTCCAAATCTAGCGCTTTGTTATAACCCATACACATTAAGGTATCGAGTAGATCCTCATTTACATCAACATTCTCTTCTCTTGCTTGCATTAAATGGAGTTGAATGAATCCTTCTCTAGTAAGTTCTCCTTTCTTCATTTCAAAGTTATCTGTTATGAAATGGAGATTGGTGTTTCGAACATCTAATGTAGCTAAAATGGTGTTGAACTCTTGAACAAACGTAAGAAAAACCTGCCTTATGTAAAGTAATTAATTTGCAAATTTTTTTTTGATATTTAAAATTATTACCTTGAACAATTTGCCACGCTTCATCATCAACTTTTTCATCAGTTGTAAGTATTTGAAAGCAGTTAAATTCTTCTCTGTTCAATAGCCCGTTCCCATCCAAATCACACATCTCAAACATGTCTGACAAAGTTTCTCTACAATTTAATATAGGATCTTTCACAGTCAAGACTGCATATTATTGTCTCTTAATTCTTTCGCATATTTGACTCGTGAAAATAACAGTACAATTACAAAGGAAATCTCCAAACTTTTTACAATTGTTAATAAACCTATTTTTGTAAAATATTAACTAATAAACTATGTATAGTTAATGAATATCCTATTTACGTTTCATGTGTATAATCCAGTTATATTGGCAGATCTTAGGTCAGGTAGATTGGAGCAAACACCTTCACATAAATCAAAAAGTCAAATACAGTTATATCTACAAACAATTCAAAGAGTGTGCCTAATGTAGGTAGATGAAAAAACATATTAATCGTTACACTTATCCTGCAAACTTGCTTATGAACAGGGAGATCCCAGTGTGTGTAGCTGATACTATATGGAAAATTAACTACCGGTAGGTATAGAAATTTTCAACGAACAATAGATTAATTTTAGTAAATCCCTCAACATACGACCAGAAAACACGCAAAATATTTGTCAAAAAAAAAAGCCTACCTAAAAGCCCTTGATAATTGCACTTCATCATTGTGATCTTTTCTAAGTAACGGAATTTCTTCGTCTGGTTCTTTTCTGCGACGAAATAATCTACATCCACTAGTAAATGGCAAAAGAATATAGGAACCAGCACGCAAATCACCTTTCCAACAATATTGCTGTGAAGGAAACAGTAATAAATAACGCATTGCTGCTAGTATGATATAGAATTCTAAAGGTACTAAAACAACAATCTAGACAAACTACAGGGTGTCCATAAAGTCTCTTAACCTAGGATGGCAATTACCGAATAATGCACTATTTTAAATCATTCGAAATTATTATCTCTAAATATGAAATTTCAAATACATTCCAAAATAAATTCAAGTAAAGGAAGCTTATCATAGTGTATGGAGGAATTTGCATACAATAAACGGCGCTCATCAAGTATGTGTACCAAGATAACGCACAACCTGAACCCTAACCTGGTACAAAAACTATGTTCAGGTTGTGCGCCATCTTGGTACACATACTTATTGCCGAAAAGCGTGTAAATTAAGTGTTGTTTTCTTTGGCCTCCGTTTCTAAACTGTACAAACTCAGGACGCAATCACAATTAATTATACGAGTCAGAAGGCACGAAAAAAGAAATTTGATTAATGCACAAATAAGAGTTTTACATTTCATGCACATCTAACCATGTTACATGTGAGATTTTATGAGCACAATATAAAAACGATATGTCAGACGCTATAATTTCATGTGTAAATGCCACAAATTATGCTATGTTGGAAAATTTGAAAGTATATTCAATAGTCGTCGAAGTTGAAAACAGCCAATTGTGCCCGCGATATACCTTCTTAGCTATACTTGAATTACCGTTGGGCCACACCCAGGGGCGCGGCCAGCGGGGCCACCAGTTTTTATCGTCGTTTTCCGGTCGCGCATCATGGTTTCGCGATCAAAACGATATTATTCTGTGCGTTATATACCTAATCGCAATTGACACCGACAAACTTTTTTCGTCTTTATGATATGGTATCTTTTTTAGTTTTTTAGTTGATTGCAATTCCGTAGGGCGTATTTTTCTTCCTCTCCGTCAAACAGACATGAAACGAATTTAACCGCCGTTACCGGCGCTCAAAAGGAGAGGACGTTCTTTTCCCGACTCCATCACGTTTATTAATACAAATCATAGCGCATTGAAAAGCAAAATAGAAATTATTAACATTAATTTACAACGAGTTACGGATAAGAATTTACCGACGATTATCGCTAACAGGTAACAACGATAAATGTGAGAACATTTTTGTTTTCGTTTTGCGCCTATCATATTTTTCAATTGCTAATTTAGCATAAATCGCGTCAACGCCGTATATGTAAATTTAGAAAGTAGAACCAGATAAGTGAGACAGGTAAATAATGTATTTTATGGAAATTTTCTGAGATATTGGGGAGAAATATTATTTTGAACATGTAGAAATGCCGTCATTGCCGATTTATTCACGTGTTTAGTATCAGTGTTTTAACCCAAAGCTGAGTTACGTGAATGCTCAAAACTGCGTATTGAAGAGATTACCAATTTGTGGAGTTTTCAATTAGTATTCATGACGTAAGTAACACGGACGATATAAAATAAAAAGCATAAAAATGTCAACTATCCTCTTCACAAATATCGCATCCCGGGGCCAGTAATGATAATATATTTCGCTTAAAATTGGGACAGTAATTTACAAACTGTGATCCTACACAGAAGATAAAATCAGAATAAAATTAATTTATGTTATGAATGCACTCCTTAATAGTTGTCTTTAACATCTTCGCCCATGTGAACTCACAATTCTGCCCGGAATATAAAAATCAAGGTGCTCCTGAAGTATGCGCACCAAGATGTCGCATAACCTGAACCCTAACCTGGTACACAACCAGAGTTCAGGTTGTGCGCCATCTTGGTGCGCATACTTCAGGAGGTCCAAAATCAAACTACGATATCAGCTGTTGCGTGGGAATTAATATTTACTAGTGAATAAAAAGTGCTTTAGTTTACCAACATTAATTGGGATGCCAGCCGCCGAAACGATTGCGGTTACAAAAATTTACTACGGCTTTCGATTATGACAAAATTATGAAATAAAAAACGCCCCATTGTTACGTTATTTTCAGTCTTCTAGTAAAATCCAAAAGAAAAAAAAATTGTTACAGCGATCGTTTCGGCGGCCGACATCCCAATTAATGTCATTTAAAATGACAATACTCATCATTCAATGTTTCGTTAAACATATTCAATAATTTGATTAAAAAATACGATTTTGCCCACTATTAATCACGCCGCATGTAAATAATCATTGAATGACAATACAAATCAACTTGATTAACATTAAATTCCAAGTAATAGTTTCACATTTCATGCATTTAATCGGCGCTACATGCGAGCGTGTTTTTGTACATATAAACGATTATGATGCTACTGACATCCGCGAGTTATACTTCTCTCCAAAAAGAATATTCGCGATTTTCAAAGTTAATTCTGAATGCGGGTACCCGCTGACTACGTAATTTCGTGGACGATGCATACTTTTTAGTTTATGAAACGCCTTACGTCGTCGTGAATTGCACTTTTGGAGCACTGTTTCAATTTCGCCGTAACCCCCCCCCGTTTGAAAACTCCTGACTGCGCCTCTGGCCACACCAGACCTTTTTCTTGGATTATGATGGATATAAGCTAACAAATGTTAGGTATATTCAATCAATTTATTATTGTACTAATTGAATAGTATTCCTTGGGATTATATCGCGGCTCTTGGTATTTATGTGAAAAGTGCCCATTATTGTGAATAATTTTAAATTCAGCTGAAAAAGTATCCGAATACATTGAGATTCGAATACTCGATTCGTTTTGCACAACCCTGTTGCTCTTATGTTATGGTGCGCAGGTAATAAGGTAAGAATCTTCAAAATAATCTCTCAGCGAAATTGCTTTGCTTTCTGGGACTGCGCACCTATTTATTGGAGCATTTTTCTGTTTTTGTGCAACACTTTGTGTGCGCTCGAAATGTAGGCGACATTTTATCACCTCCAAATGTCATATGCGGTTCACTCTTACATTGTTGTATAGGAAATTAGCGTAGCTTCCAAACAAGATAACAAAATTTTTAGAACTCATGGTTAATCACACAGTACCCTTTTTAAATTCGAAAACGCGTATAGGACGTAAATGAATGCTGGATCAGTTCTATATCAGTTTCAAAAATATCACCTAATTAAAATAATGTTGTTTGAAATTTATAAGAATGGAATTATCAATACATATACATATTGCATTTAAGGCTTGCACGTAATTTACAGATTTACGAAATTACGGAATTATTTCGAGTTACGGAAGGGAAGTTACGAATTACGTAAAGTCGTAATTATTGGTCGAGCGCTTTCGCGATTGAAACGAGCTCTCTTCAAAGCAGTCAATTCCGTTGATTGTAAAAAGTGAAAGTTTAAAAAGTGGAAGAAGTTAGAGCTTCGGTATTTGCAGCCGTTTTTCTCACTTTTCTCTCTCTTGCCAATACGTCACCGTGATAATTAATGTCGCGCTTAAACAGCAATATGACGAAGGAAAAGAAATTGCGTAATTAACCAACGCAACTTCGTCTTTTAGGCATCGGTAAAGCGATTGAGACGGCAGAGAAACAACAATATGACGGGATTTCCCGCGATCCGGTAAAAATCAACAATATGACGACGGAAGAGAAATTGCGTAATGAACCAACGCAACTTCGTCTTTTCGGCATCGGTAAAGCGATTGAGACGGCAGAGAAACAACAATATGACGGGATTTCCCGCGATCCGGTAAAAAACCTTTGCGGACCGTTAACGGTCCGCGGACCGGCGGTTGGGAACCACTGTTTTAGAATACTCAAATCGAATCCAGAACTCTATTCTATTTTTATAGTTACCCGTATTTAAATAGTGGGATTTCTCCACCACAATGCATGATTGAAATTTAAAAAAAAAAGCTAAATTGTAGCCTAAATGTTTAATGTATAACAATCTTTGTGCAGTATTTAATTGAAAATGTTCTGATCATTGGATTATATTTAACCAAGGCAACGAGATTTAGGAAATTCGACGATCGTTTTTTTGTTTTTAACAGTTTAATATTCTCAATTTAACTACTATCAAATATCAAGTATGAGCCAGTGTGTTTATTCTGTGCGAGAACCATTTTCAATTACAAAACCTTGATGTTCTGTTACCGGTTTTATCGTTTTATGTCATTTCGGACTTGTCCTTGCTCAATATATTTTCCACAATGCCTCGCAATATTTCGGCCAAATAAGATTAACTGTCTTTACCAAATGCGGCAACTTATTTTGATTCTTGAATACCACCGACACTCGACCAAATTTGTGTCAATCTTGGCCGGTAGGATCGTTCGTGAGTGCAAAATAAATGTCACAATATGCATTTTTGTGCGATATAACTTTGTATTTTCGTCAAAGCCATGTCATATAAGTACGGTATTTAAATTATGCGCAAATAATTAATATTTGATCTAAATTTGGCGCAAATAATGTTACAACATTTAGGCCGCGAAATGATTTAATGTAAAATGAAGCATGGTAATCGGAATAACGTCAATAAGTCGGCATCAATAATTATCATAAAATGCTGACTAGGTAATAAAGTCGAATAATGTTAAAAGCGATGCAATAACAAGTCTTCGTCGCGAGGCAAGCGCAAGTATAATCAAACGAGAGAATACGCTCGTCGTGGCATTGATAAATTGGAAACCCGACATTTTTTTTGGTTCCATTACATTTGAACCCACGTACATTTGAACCCATGACAATTGCACCTGTATGCTATTGCACCTATGGAATTTTTTTTGTTTCACGGATAGTTAAACCCATACTAACCCTAACCCATGGGTTTTAGCACCCGCACATAGATTGAACCCGTGGATATACGCATGGGTTCAAATGTACATGGGTTCAAATGTACGGTCACCATTTTTTTTTAATACGATTTTCAAAAGTCAACTATCGTTTCATAAATATCCGTATACCAGTGTCGGTAATGATAAAATTGATCGCATAAAATTGGGACGGTTAATTTGCGAAGGTGATAAAGGGAATCAAAGCTAGCACAAAAGATAAAAATCAGAATAAAATTAATTTGAATTCACTCTTGTCTTAACATCTGTCGCCGGCGTGTGGTACTGCCAGGAATATGAAAACCCAAACTCGATGTCCCAATCGAAAATGAAGTGGATTCAATTGGTTGTTATGATAGGTTTAAATGTGTGAAAAAATATCGCAATTACGGGGTCATTACGTAATCGATTTGGCCGTAATTACGGAATTGACTTTTGTCAATTACGTGCAAGCCTATAATGCATTTTTATGTCTAAACTTGACTACAGAATCGATTTTGGTGCCCTAATAGTTGTGGCTTTAGAGCATTCGTCGCTGATTTTTTAAATATTTGTCTATAATATTTGCTTTTACATGTTGAAGAATTTTCTTACCGACAGTTTCATCAAATTCAAATGTACTGCAATTTTACATCGAAATGGAAATTGTCACCCTATGCGCCTGATGGAGCTTAATGGATGGAGCTGATGGAGCTTAAACTTCGATGTAGCTGCTACACAGATGAATGTGAGACTAATACTCAGCCAGTTGCTAGTGCAGTACAGTACAGAGATGGCGAACCTTTTTTAATGAATGGGTCGGAAATTATATTCTTATTATGAAAAAAGACTGTGGGTCCTAGATATTTAATCAATGAGAAATTTGATGTTGCATCTATTCTATGAGTCTTATAATTCTGGGGTTGGTATCGTGTAGTTTTAATTTTTAAACATGCACTGATATCAGGATTACAGATGTACTGATATTGCTATACCACTTTTGTCGTCGATACCAATCCGATACTAACGAAAAACGCTGATACCGAATTATCGATACGCCAATATTTCAAGAAGTCGATGTTCCGATACTATGTGCCGGTAAATATTACCGTACATTAAGTTCACGTGTGCAGGGCAGACGAGTAGTCAAACAATAGTCTGTGAGCATTATTTCAGCTTGAAAATGAGATATTCCAGATAATAGTAAATTGATGTTTGTGATTTAGATGCAATAATTAATTCAGATGCATTGTGCACCGACGCTAATAATATCGGTGATCAATAAGAAAACTCATAAGATTTGGCTACTATCGATGTTGACAAAAACAAATGTTTACTAATCCTATCCAACTGATACATTATGTTGCGTGCGCATGATTTCGTGCCAATATAACGTCTCATTACACATTGAAAAATCCACTAAAATTCATTCAAAAACACTATACCGTATTATTTCTCAAATCTGTTAATCCAATTAATTCAGTATTCTCACTGCTCATAGTTGACCGCCTCAAAATCATCATACACGTATCAACTGGATTGCGAGGAATCTCTACAAGAAAATAAAGCATGACTTGAATGTTTAATTTGAGAGCTCATATATTTAAAAATGTGGATCTAACAATCTATTGCATTATAAATAAAATTTTAAGAGCCTGAAGAGTATATTTATTTGCTTGAAATAATTCTTTAGGCCAGGGTGGTCCACAGTTGTCGGCTTCGAGAGCCACAAAATTTTCTGGTTACTTTTATGACAAAATAAAACCATGCAATTTTTGATTACCCTCCAGCAAATGCAACGCGGGCCACTGGTTATGATACTGCAGGCCACATGCGGCCCGTGGGCCTGGGTTTGAACCACCCTGCTTTAGGGTATTAGGTAATTAGGGCTTACTTCCCACATTTATCAAAATTCTCTCATATCATCATTAAAAAAATATCCATACTGCTGGAGTTATTAATACATATATAAGAGTACACATCTGTTGTATGGCAGTATACAAATACAAATTTATCCAGCTTTGTGTTCGAACTGGGTTCAGTGAAGTTAATGATCTTTAATTTGCTCTTGAAAAGAAAAAGATATCGGGTCAAGTTGAGTCAATTTCAGTTTTTGTGAAATGAGTTTTATTGTGTTTAGTTTGGGTAATTTGAGTTTCTCAGATAAGAGTGGAAGCAAGAAGACACTGCAAACAGTGATAGCAACACTCTAGACCAGGGTGGTCCAAACCCAGGCTCGTATGTGACCCGCAACATCATTATCTGTTGCCCGCGTCGCAATTGCTAGAGGGAGGGTAATCAAAAAATCGCATTTGATGTTGTTTCATCATAAAAAAAACCAAAACAATTTTTCGACATCTTGTTACAACACTAATGTCACTAAATTGGCTAGTGCTATGGCTATCTGAGGCAACTAACAAAGTTGAATAATGGGTGCTCCTGAAGTATGCGCAACAAGATGTCGCAAAACCTGCACCCTAACCTGGTACACATAATATGTTCAGGTTGTGCGCCATCTTGGTGCGCATACTTCGGGAGGTCCGAATAATGTGCTTGGCTAGTTCAAATTGTTCACTGGATTTCAATTGTTTGGTTGGGATTTTAGGGAATATATGCTAACAATATAATAAATATGATAGTAATGTTATGGCCTAACTAACAATATAATTCCTTCCGTCGATTTTTTGCAACCAGCCTGAGCAGTATTAAAAAAGACTTCCAATATGTCAGAAAAATTAGTAATTACTCTCCTGTGCCTCACATTTGGTAAAATTTGGAAATCAATCAATCAGCATTTTTGGCTAATATAATCCAAAACAGCATTTTGCAATCATGTTAGCATTTCCAAATTTTGATGGATTTTCCTTTGAGAATCTTACTTTTTCAGTTATGAAGAGTAGTTTGAAATCTTACACTAAATGTAGATATAAAAAAAACTTTGCACAATTCAGTGATTTTTTTGGTGTTTTTTGCATGTTTTAGCTTGATACATAACAAATAAAGATTAATGTGTTTGCACAAAGGAAAGTGTTCATTTTGTATTGCACTGTTTACTTATTCTCGAAGCCAACAAGACAACAACCCTGGACCACCTTGCTAGACTCTAGACATTAACTTGGGTCAAAAAAGTGTCGAGTTTTAATGACTTACCCCGACTTGTAGATAGCGAATATGGTTTTATTGTTAGCCAAACTTTTGAAGCAGATGAAAGTACTAGAGAATATTCATGACACTGTACTTTTCCATCATCATTATCAAGGTAAAAGCATCCTTTAGTTTTCAGTCTATTCCAGTTCTATAAAATATGCAATATAACTTAAAAATAGGTTTATAGGAGGAAGCACATCTAGCTCAAAAATATGCTTTGTACATGACACGATGAAGCTATAGTGTTTCGAATCGAACGCTTTTTCATACACCCTAAGTTATCATCACACTACAATACCAACATGTCTAGATGTCTCGAACAATTCACAATTAGGTTGTCAACCAAAAAATTCTAGTCAAAAATGCTTCGGTATTCGAACGCGCATCTCTGCTCACTTTTGACCATTCCACAAGAGAGCAATAGTCAAACATATGGACATGAAGGTCAAAATGTATGACATGTACAGCAACTGATACAAAATGTTTTAAAGTTTTGTCTTTGATATGTTTAATCTCTATTATGTACATATTTAAATAAATATTTTTGTACAAGTTTTGTTAATTTTGGGTATTTCGGAAGTCGTAGGAACGAATCAAAATAATTATCATTGTTTTTCATGGCAAAAAATTTTGGTACACAAACAAATCGGCAGACGAACACCAATCTTGAACGAATTATGTTAAACTACCGAGGTATCCCTGTAGTAGCTTTAAAGCAAAATCAAATAATGGCCATTTGATAAAATCATTCGATGCATCAGGTTAAATTGATCCATCTTTCTAAAAAATGTCTTGTCCAATTATCATTAACTTTGCTCTCTGTGCCAAATTACCTTCAAACCTTTAGGAATAAATAGATTTGATTTTTTGTCAAGTGGAGCAGCCATCCTAATCTGAACAGCATTGTCAAGTTTAACTTCAGGAGTCGACGACTTTCTTGCTGATGATGGATGTGAACTTGACTTGACTTCTTTTTTAGAAGAAACAGTGTTTTCTTTTTCATATGTCTCCATAGATAATGTACGTTGAGCTGCACGAGGAGTTCCTTAACAATATCATATGAGCTAGGGCTGTCCAAAATCGAATATTTTTTTGATTCGAATCGAACCGAATATTTTCCTCGAATCGAACCGAATAATCGAATATTATTGCGCAATCCTAAATTTGTCTCTAATGTACAATAAAAACTTCCTCTTCAATATTGTGATAATTTATGTGCAGTTATATCTAAATTATTGCAAATATTTTGCAGAACTATGTTTCCAGAGTTATAAAAGAAGATCACAAGCCTCCTTGAACTGGTCAAAAAATTAGGGTTTTGAAAACTATCAAGTTTTGAGAGTTGAAAATTGCACAGACTCTTTTAATGCCCGTAGTTGCTTTTTCAGTCCTATTATCATTAGTATTATTAACTCAATATTTTTTGTGCAATTTTCAGCAAAATGATAAACAACTATTAATATAGATATAACTGTTGCCCAAAAAATTCAAAATTGAATTTCGGGAACTCACAAATTCAGAGCTAGTTTGATGACATTAATATTTGATGACCATATTGTTGCTGTACAACAGCCATCAACTCACAAGAGTGCAATTATTTGTCATAGTAATAAATGGATGAAACAAAGCATTGCCATTAGAAGAAATTACAAATTCTATTGGAAGATATTGGACCTCCAAAACGTGTTTCAGTCCTGTACCATGTTCCTATGATTACTGACATAACAGCTACAAATCGATTCTATTTATAGAACTGGCGTTTTTTGGCTGACACAAAATTTGCCTTTTTCTCCTTGTGTTCTCACAAAAAATGTCATCTTTAAATTATTGTTACGATAACTTTTCATTTATGACCATGCATGGAATGGATAATTACTAGGGCTGGGAATTTCAGGGAAAACACTTTAACCGTTAACCGGTTAATCGGTTAACCGCCGCGTGACGTTTGACGTAATAATTTATAATTTCTGCTTGTTACGTCACAATGCTTATAAAGCAATTTCGCGTGTTCTTATCCCGGTATCGCTTATTAAAATTATTCACGAATCGAGATAGTTTCATGATTGCTCTGCTGCAAGCGATAGGCAACGTGGTTCGGGCGTGTGGAAGTATTTTAGAAAACCTGATTCCGTTGTTTAATGTCATTTATGTGACAAATTATCAGTGTTCAATGTGCAAATTTTACTTTGAGATTATATATCATATAAAGAAAAACGGCTTCAACTGCGCACTTGTTGTATGACATTGAATATCCGATTTTGCAATGAAATCTTGAACAATATATTTCGAAATCGACCGAAAACTGATTCTGAATTCATCATTGTCAAATTTCCATAAGCAGCAATCTTGGTACTTCCATTATTTTTCACATTTATTGCGAGTCCTTACCCACACAGTCATTACTTATCGATCTTAAGATCGGCTCCAAATTTTGCATGTGCATGCATCTTACCTCGGACCAGAAGCCTATAGATTTTGGGTTAATTATGTCGTATAATTAGCGAGTTATTAACTAATTACCGATCTAAGATCGATAAGTCTTCGGTCTCCGACCGATATTCTCGGTTATATTCTTGTGAATTAAATGCCACAAGAGATAAATTTGCGATGACGTAATCATATTTGAAGAAATTGTACGGTATGAAGATGATTTGTACCTGAGATGTCAGTTAACGGTTTAAATAAATCGTAACCGTTAACCATCTGAAATCGGTTAACCGGTTAACCATTCCCAGCCCTAATAATTACATGTCACGGGACAATAGGAGAGACCTTTTTACAGCAAAGAAAGCGATAGAAACATGTTTTTGCTTGCCCCGTGAAAAACGCGGCGCAAAGGTGGTCGTGAGGCGCATTATGTACCAAATTTTAGCTATTCGTAAATTGGCCGAAAAACGCTTCGAATAATTTGCGATTCGATTCGATTTCGAATATTTGGTTCGCTTGGACAGCCCTACATATGACATCACAATATTTTAAGACAAGTAATTTGAAATCATGCCAGCTTAAAAAGCATAAAGTAGATTAGCAAAATTGAAAAAAACAGACCAATCGGTTCCTTGGTCAAGCTCTCATGTTTGTGTGTGAAACCATGGCAAAAGTTGGTATGAGACAAATTTTCCCATCTGATAAGTACAAGTAAACTATGAACGATCAAGAATTTAGTCTCTGCAGCACTTTAGCTTTACTGTAAAGCTTATGCAGTGCTTTATTATAATATTTCCTTTAGTTATTTAAAAATATCATCATTTAGGGCAGGGGTGTGCAAACTGCGGCCCGCAAAGAAAAATTGTGCGGCCCATGGATGAGTGACAATTTTGAATTACGGTATGTGCCCACGAAACCAGTTTGAAGTTCAGTTTATATGGTAGGCTATGTGAAAGCAATTTCAATCTCCTTGCGTCGCAAAGCCTATACCAGTACCTGAGTGCCACTGTCATATTAGCAAAACTAGCTACTGTAGCTAGAAAAATTCTGTTTTGAAATACACATATAACACAATCTTATAAAAACGTTTTTGTCACTGAAATCATTTGAATTCATGGACGACAATAAATTTGAATAGCAGTTTTCAATTTATGCGTTTTAACTCAACATTTCTGCAAGGAGCCCTAACAATGCCGTTTAACAGTGGTCACCTGGTCGGCAACCTTTTTTGAGTCTGTATATAACCTAATCCGTTCTAAGCCCCCGCAAAACTCGTACATAATGTATGTATGAATTACAATAATGGTTAAAACCAGTAACAAAGACGATACATGTTAGAATTAGATTTTGGCATAATAAATAGAAAAGTATAAATGGAAAGAACAGAGAAATACCGAATAAAAACTACAAACTACGTTTGTATAACTTTGGCGTCGGTCGACTAGGCTAGGCAAACGAAGACAGCGGAAAGTGGGAGGATGACGGTCGGAGGAGGCGGCAAAAGTTGACAGCTGAGAGAGAACGTAATGTACGAAAAAGAGCAGACACACATGAAATTCAATTTTTTTTAATTTTTACCCCCATCGTATCATCCATCATCTATTCACTAAATTTTGCTAGCAACACATTGTACGTACCCACAGGAAACAAACTGTCCAATGGGATGGCAGATACTTTATTGCCGCACCACACACGGGTGCCTTTGATTATAATGAAAAAAAAGGTATTCGAATTGGACATCCTTTCTTTAAGCACTGCATTAATTTAACCTAAAATAAACGAATATCACTACACGCAGTTTTCAGTATTTGGCCTTCCGTATGTAGAAAATCTTACGTTAGACGAAGCAATATTTTTACAAGAAGATTTGGATTTTTGGTATCCAGATCCTTTCATAGATAGAGTTTCGATGCGCGGCCCGGCCCGCGGCTTTACCCAGTTACTTTAATCTGGCCCTCCTGTGTTGAAGGTTGCCCACCCCTGATTTAGGATAACTGATACTGATCACTGATAATCGGCAATAGTAAGATTATTTAATCTCAATAATCGGCAATAATTGCACGATTATTTAAATATTCATATTATGCGATTACAGTTACCTATATTATGTATTATGCAATGTGGTTGTGAAATACATAGCAAAACTACTTGCCGTCTATCCAACCTGAGCTTGGGACAGTTATGTCCGCGCTCACGTAAAATCAAAGTGTAAGCATGTGAAAACGAAATGTGACAATGAAAGAATCAGCATGATTTTCGGAACATTGGTCACTATGTAGTACTGTAAGTTTCATATGTTCAAAATTTTGACTCAGCCAATTACAGTCTGTTTCATCAAACGTAACATAACTTTACATAAAAATTGTAATCATTGCCTTAAAGTGGTCTGATGAAGATTGAACCATTACGTCGCTTCTGTGCCAAAACGTGACACTAATACTCAATTTCCACAATGCAAGAGCTAGTAGAGTAGAGTACTTGAATGCTTGTTAAGTTGAATCTCTAGCTCTGGTATCTGGAGCAACCATCCGTTGTGTGATTTTGTGTATCACTTAATTTTATAAAATTCATTGAAATTAATATATTGGCTTAATATACAAAATTAAATTGTAAAGTTTTCACTCAAAAATTTGTGTAAAAAATTCAATTACAAAAAAATTTGGCAACTTCTATTTCTAATGCAGGTTGAGTTGAAAATAACATAATAAACATACTTCTTCCTCCTCCAAAACTACTTGCTGAAATCGGTCTCAGATTAGAATCAGCTTTTTTCTGCTTCAATTGCTTGAAGTTTGCTTGTTGGCAGCGATGGCTTGTAGTCAACATCAGAGTACAAAACTAAAAATACCAAACCAAATTGACTATGGAATATGCAATGTTAAATAAACCCAGTACCTCGTTGTATCAATATGGCAGTTTTAATTATATACATGCCCGCGAATCACACAGCATTTAAAAAAAACGAGTACCTGAAAAACTTTTGCTTTTTATTTGTGTATTTTAGTCAGATATTTTTGCACTAGGAAATCGTGCACTTAAGTCACATGAACACTCTCGTTCATATAAACATGCGGCGTCACATTCTAATTCAGGCCGATGCCAACATGCATTTTTGCAGGAGAAGTGGAATCGAAGTGCTTGTATAAAACACCATACTATAAACATTGACGTTATTGCAAAATCTCAGATAGCTTTATCTCCCATATCTGCACCACATAGCTTATAATTTCCGCAAATATCAATATGCAATGCAAAATTAGGTTACAAAATTACTCGTGCACAGTTAATTTGTCAACTTTATACTCGCATGCAAATTATTTGTCAACTTTAAAATTGTTCGCTTCTAAAAATGAAAAAAATGGCGATTTTGTAGACTATAAAAATCACTGGGAAGTTGCCTCGCAGTTTTCGAAAAAAAGTGCTCTAATAGTGAGTCAGAGACAAATCATGGTTGGAGTCGATTGCAAATTACCTCAACTCCACAGCTCTATGCGTAAACTAGATATAAGCTCTGATTGTTAAAAAGTAGGTTGGTTACTATAAACCAAAATACCTCTTCATAGTCCAACTTCCCATCTCTGTTTACATCTGCATCATCTATTATTTTTCTCACTTCCATTTCTGTCATTTTTTCACCTTGCTAAAAATTGATGATATAGAAAAAAACTCAAAATCTAATCAATTTGATACTATTGTATTAATCTATACTACACTGAAATAAACATTATTTAAACTCAAACCTCACCGAGGTCAAAACTTCATGTAATTCTGAGTGAGAAATGAAGCCATCACGATTTGAATCAATTTTTTTGAATGCGCTCAAAAGATCGTCCCTGGATGGAGATTTCATCTCATTGAGTATGTCACAATACTCAGCATATGTTACAGTATCTATGATGTTAAAAAGTAAAACAATCAGCATGTACATCTACTTTCAATAAATTCAAATTTCATTCAATAAATATTTTGCTTATTGTTTGCTTCACTAAGCGCTTTATATTAGGACGAACTTGCGATTTGAAAACTTTCAACTGCATACTAAGATTTTCGTCTGGCAGTCTCGACCTATAACGACCAAATCCAGTTTTGAGTGCGACGTCATCTCACTCGACTGCGAGCTCCGCTTGGCCCGAATGATCGAGATCCGTATTTTGTTCGAATATCGCAGAATTTTTAACACTAATTTTTTGGTCGACTACCTGGGTACACTGTGCCGTATAATTTTATTGTACTAAATTGAAGAAATTGTAGTCTTAGTTCTGAGATATTTCATCGCAGATCTAGCGAGTTCTCTGACGTTGATATCTTGAAATATCGGGATCTATTGTACAAAGCCCCTGTCATAAAATACACCACTGCCTCCACTCAACGTAAAAAAAAGTTAAAAATAAATTCAAATCCCCAAACCGTTCCGAACCCGAACCACAACTCTATAATTAGTATCGATAAGTTGTTATTTCAAGACGCGGTGTTTTTCTCAAATTTCACATTTTTGCATTAGTGGTGTGGGCTTGTACGAAAGATCCGTATTTCGCAAGCCTTCGGATACAGAAATTATAAACGAATCCATCTTGTCGCGATTATCGGTTTGCCGATAAGACAGCGTAACTATGCTAATAAGACAATGGTCATTTTGATCCATTGTTAAAAATAGATGTAGCCTATCGTTGCCAGGATATAAATAACCCTGGCGCTCCCATTTCCTCTGTACATATCCTAAAGGTTTATCACGACAAACATACACTGAATCGCCTGAATTCTTCGCAGGCCGCACGAAATGTCTTTGCGGGCCACAGGTTCGTCACCTCTGGTATATGCCAACATACTATTTTTAAAGATCATGCTACATAGCATGTTATTTAAAAATGCAAATTACCCTCTAATCTCTACGTCACAGCCAAATGAACTTACCAGAAGTTGATCTGATAAAAATAGGAAAGTTTGAATCGAATCTCAAATTAGAATGTTCAGATTCGAATATTTCCAAATCTGATTCTATTTAGTACGCCATATTATCATTAACTTTTATTAAATTAGGGAATAAATACTGGGTAAATTGTGAATAAATAATGTTAATGAACTAAATAATAAATAAACTGACGATTTTAAAAAAGAGAAATGTTTATGAGAGAATTTTATAATAATGATGCTATAGTTTATTTATTGATATATTTGTGAAACTTCTCAACATTTTGAGTAGTCAAACAAAAGTGAGCAAAACTGCTTCTAAAACTGTGAAAATATTTCACAAGTCTCGCTCATAATTATCTGCTACAGGATTTGAATTGCTAATGCTTAGCATAATGAGCCAACCGCGTAAAAAACACTCTTTATTCACTACACTTTTCTTTGAATTTTTTATTGTTACTAACCATTTACCGGTCTTACTACTTACTGAATACAGCGCGAAACACCGCAAAGAGCGCAAAACAGCGCAAAACAGAGGGAAACAGCGCAAAACAGTGGGAAACAGCGCGAAAGAGCGCAAAACAGAGGGAAACAGTGTGAAGCGGAAAAAAATTTTGCAATGAATGCGGGGCACCTTGTTTTGAGTTGGAGTACCACGGCAGCAAATTAAAAACACAAACCAACGTATGTAGCCAGTAATGCTGTAATGGCAGGTCTGCCCCTGCTGGTGACACATTTTGGGTACCATAATTTAGAACATTTTCCATATGGATATGGTTGGCTTTAGGGTTAGGTAAAAAGGGACCTCCAGAAGTATGTGCACCAAGATGGCGCACAACCTGAAAATAGTATGTGTGTGTGTGTGTGTGTAGCGGATTCAGGTTGTGCGACATATTCCTGCACATACTTCTGGAGCACCAAAAAGGTAGATAAAATTTCGCATGATGACCTATAATCCGGTACATAACCTTGTAAATATACCAGAAATAGCGCCATAAAACCATGGCGAGAGGCGCCGTCGTTCTTTCGTGGAAGGGGGTGGTAATGACTGCGTCTCCTGTTTTACGCTGGTTTCCTTCTGTTTCGCGCTATTTTGCGCTGTTTCGCGCTCGTTTGCGCTGTTTCGCGCTCGTTTGCGCTGTTTCGCGCTCTTTGCGGTGTTTCGCGCTGTATTCAGTAAGTAGTAAGACCCACCATTTACCAACAGTATTGCTAAGGGAATTTCCAGTTATATTTACAACTAAAACAACACAAATGCATGAACCTGTTTTTGATGTCCATATTTTGCTTATCTGTTTTTCCGAAGGATTTCTGCCAGCCTGCTGTAACACTGAAATATAAAAAACAAAGCTTAAAATTGATTGAATGAAGGTGCAAAAAGATAATGCAAAAATTATTAACAGATGAATGCGAACAATCAGGTAGACATTGGTATAGAGTCATAGACTAACAATTGTTTTATATTATGTTGTTTTACCATCCAAATTTGTTAATTAATAAAAGTGAAACCATACCTCTTTTCAATAGCTTTTTAGAATCAATAGGAATTTTTGTACTGTCTATTACACTAAGATAAGCTGCTTCACATTCTGATTTGAATAATTCTTCATCCGCATCAGAATGATGTTGCTTGTTTGATATATTATAAACTGAGCTTTGACTCCGAAACATGATTTGAATCTTGAGAAAATACAAATGCAAAGAGTTCTTTTAAAACTCATGTTTGAACATATATATGAATGTATGCTAGCCCATTGCATATATCCAATTTGAATCAATTAAGGATATTAGGAAACATTCAATAAAGAAATGTTGGCGATTTTAGCAAAAAAAATATTATTTGATTTTGCCCTCCCTGTCATACCCCTATTATCTGTGGTAAAATAGGAATCAATTATATCCACAAAAATTACTTCTACTTTACATTCTGATTTTACCTGTTACTTGACTTCCACACATTTGGCTGAGTCAGTTTTACCTCTATTTTTACTAAATATATATTCGAATAAAATCAATTATATACATATTATACATAAAAAAGATTATGTGCAAGTTACGTAGCCTACGTGTTGTTATAGATTATTTAATTGAATCTAAAGTTAGTAACATTCAAATTCACATATAAAAGTTTCAGCCATTCGGGATAATGTATATCAATATGCATATAAAAACCACATAAATCAATTTATCATATCACTTTACAGCATTAAGGACACTTTAGAAATTCAGGATAATAATATATATGACATAAAATGTGTGCTGTTTATTATATAATACAAATTAGGGTAAACATATTTATATAAATTGGAGAATTTGGTTGGATTAAGTATAGATTGGAGTACATGGTTGTATTAAAATTACGGTAGGTACCGGTACTAAGAATTGAAAAACAGCACAATAAAAAACAAAAACCAGAACAAACCACTGAACTGGAAATACTGCTGAACTGGAATAAATCATGAAACTCAAATTATGGATGTGAAATGGAACACTGTAATAGAAAATTGGTGTTGATGGTCACTGATGATCAAGCCCGACTGCAGTATGAAACAGAACGAGATGTAAACAGAATCAAAAAATTACCGGCAAGTGTACTGTTAATTATGGTTCATTAAAGTAAACAACATACAAACATTTAAAGGCTGTACAGGACATGTAGCCATTCAGCTCATGGTAGGTAATTACAAGCAGACATGTCTGCATGTGTTCATTCAATACAAGTGAAAATATAAAAAATTATTCATACATAGTGACACCCAAAATAAATATTTAAAAGATATCGTTCTGTCAGTCTGTTATTGTATACTTTGGTAATACCACTGGAACGCTGGCCCTCTTCTCTGACATGGGAGTGAATTTGCATAAACTTGCGGGATAGGGTTAGGATGGTGCAACAACAATGGTTATCATAAATGACCAAAGTAAAGTTGCAATCATCAGAAGCACCTGTGATATCATTCGGTAGACTACTCTTTTTATCAGAAAGAGCCCTAAAAGACGCCCAATATCTTCATATGCAACTTCAAGCTCTTGATTTTTTTGCACCAACAATCTTTGCATATGTTATTCCTAACCCCCACCTGACTACGGTATATCACCAAAAATTACGTCACTACGACATCACAGTGCTGCAGACTGCAGTGGCGAAATAAAGACCTCTAAAGTCTGAAAGTGTACTGACGGTCGTTCAAAACTCGGAAGTCAACAAAATCGCCCTATACCTGTATACCGGTACGTGTTACGCCATTCTTGCGCCAAAATACCAAAATTAAATCGAAAAATTGACATGGACTACCTGCCGGTACAGTAACGTTAATTCTGTAATTCTAAAATTTTGTTGAAATTCATTCGTCTTTACTCACAATCTTTATGATTATATCTATCATTTGAACTAATGAAATCACTTCTGTCTTTGCGTCATTTAATACGGCTTTTCCCTTTTTTATATCAATCTCGAACTGCTATGGTACCTGTACCGGTACCGTATTTTTCGTGTGAATTTCGACCTCACGTTATATCTTCTGCCAACGTTTCGGTCAGGAGTGATGATCATCTCCGTTAGCAACTCGATACGCTCGAGTAATCAGCGATGCCGTTAACGAAGACGTACCGTAATTCTCTACGCATGGTTTAGTACTAAATGTAAACAAAGCTGTTGCCATGCAAAATGCGCACAGTCGTGGAATCAGTGTCCAGCACGATCAACAGATTAAGGGTTATTGCTGACTTCTTTGCTAGTCTGATGAGCGAAAGATCAACGTAGAGATGAAAGCTTAAGAATCAGGTTACGTTGGACTATTCAAAAATAAAAGGGATTGTCGGTAGCGTAGGCTACCGGTACGGGTACTTTATGAATAGGGTTATAAAAATAGGCAGATTCTTTACCGGTACCGGTACCGTAGTACACGCCCCACTGACTGACTGAGTACATATTATACCGGTACCATAATTTTTTACCTGATAGTCTATTATAGGGCCTGGCTCAACAATTTCAAATATGTCATTCTTGCCCGTCCCCCACTATGTCAACTGAAAAGTACAGGTACCGTCTGTCGGTCTGTAAGTCCAGAAGTCACTGCTGCACTGTGAAATAAGTCTGTAAGTACCGTACCGGTACCGATAAGTAGGCTCGCCGAAACAAATACAGTTTAGCAGTCTGACAGTTAAAATAAATAAGACAAGTTTATTTCGACTCCATAATCAACAAAAACGACGATAGAACGGTTGGGTCTGGTGTAGTTTAGTACCACATGCACTTCTAGTTGGCCTGGCTCAACAATTTTTGCATATGCCAATCCTAACCCCCACCTGACTACGTCACCGTAAAATTACGTCATTTCGACGTCACATTGGCGTAATAAGGCCCACCAAAGTATGCGGATAGTTGTCCAAAACCCGCAGATGATCACCCGAAATCGGGCAAGCTATTTCTCTCGTTTTCCCGTCACGATAGGAGAGAGATCGCCGGCGTTAGCGAGTTCGTTATCGGCGGCGCAGATGCTATTTCAGGCGATCGTAATTATACTTTGGCAAGCACTATGACGTGAATTTTCGGATGGCATAGTCAGATGAGGGTTAGGAATACAACAAGCAAAATTCGTTTTGATATGCCAACTGGAAGTACTTGTGGTACTAAACTATACTAGACCCGAACGGTTGATAAAAATGAATAAATGAAAACTGATACTGTAATGAAATCAGGAGAGTAAACAAAATCTTGGATAAGGCTTTAATTGTACAGAATATAAGATGGAATGTATTGCCAAAAAGTGTACCGGTAGTGAAGTGGTAAGTGTTCACTCACCTAAAACTATTAAATTAAATCATACACACTCGCATACACACGCACCCATAGGGCATTGATAGAATTGGAAAAAAGAGAGAAGCTTTAGATAAATTATTGGTATATGGTAGCAAAAAATAAATACGTAAATAGGAAATTAGAATAAAAGATAAGAAATGTGATAAATAATAGAAATTATTGCCACACCATTTTAATAATTCTATAAAAATTCTCAAACAAGAGTGAACAGTAAGGACAAAAAAATTATTTCACCAAGCTGATTATCAAATCCCAAATTGCTTAACCAAAGTTGAGAGCACGAAAAGGAAGGCTAAACCTTTTCAATCACCAAAGACATGCCAAAATATTGCCGAATTGTAGTCCAGATTACATCAATTATTAAATACTACTGGTAACAGTTGAAGTATAATATAAGTAAAAATTGGGGTACTATACAGTGGGTAGTATGGTATTAGTTAGAACCACAATTACTTCTAGTGGGCATGGCTCAGCAATTTAATAATATGTCATGTATTCCTAACCCTCATCTGAGAATGGCATTCAAAAGTTATGCCACATTATAATAACGCTGGCCGAAATATACAGACCGTTGTTCAAAACACGCAGATGCATCAACCTATGACATATAAAGTCAAATGCTCTCATTTTCTTGTCATGTGATAATTGTATTACTATACTATACCAGATATTTTTAAACTCAATTTGACTACTTTGAAAATAACTTATTCTTATTAAGTTATATACAAAGACTGAAAGACAGTACGGTATGTGTTCATTAGCAATTGGCTAGCTACTACCAGACTACCTAAATTTGCTTATCATTGCACCTCTGATATTGAAATATATTTTTGCCCCATGTGCAACCCTGCATGTGAATAGAATAATATGATTATATTAATATGAAAGCTTGTTTAACATATTTTCATGCAGTTTATAAGAGGTGTAGGAGAAAATTGATAGATGGCTGGAACTGCTAGGCATGATCGGGAAATGAAGGTTAAAGCTGAACAGCAGCTGAAAACTACAAATAATCCCATTGAAAAGTTGAGGTTTCAGTGTCTTTCTCGTGGATCAAGTGGAATCAAAGGACTGGGAAGGTGACTTTTCATATATATCGTTTGTAAATAGAAGCAATTGTAGTCAGTGTTTTACAGTGATGCAATAATCACCAGAATATAAAGCTTTTATCATAGGTAAATGGTTTGATTTTAAAATTTGGGGAGAACATTTTGACAAGCACATGACATAAGTGTGAATTAAGATCAAGAAAAATTTTTAATTAAAATCATTGCTTGTAGCACTTGACAAAAATAGTCAAGGCCTTATGGTAGTTACTTTTCCGGAGAAAACAATCAACAGGAGCTGTTGATAAGATGTTGTTTTGAATTGTTCTAAATTTTTCTAATATAATAAAACCCTTGAATATATATATTTATGGCAATTGTGATCAGGATTCCGGTTGTTGATAGATAGGTCTCATCCAAATTTATGTTATATTTCATAAAGATCTGCATTATTTTTGTTATCATCTTATTGATGTTAGCTTATTTTTCAAGAGTCATAGCCTCGTTGGACTTTTCTGATCTTCAAGCAATCTTTTTTCTTGTTGCCACACCGTACACTGTCAGAATTAGAGGCTGTGAAAATTTTATACATTAATTATAATCATTAATTTGAAATGATATGATTATATATCGCGAGCAATGTTGTGATTTGTAGAAATGTAGCTGAGATAGAAATTATTTATTTGAAAACTGTTTGACAAGCTTCTCTGGGTTGTATGAAAGCATTATTATTCGAGTCTCAGGCCAACTGTGTATTGGGTCAGTATGAGTCTTAATTTATTTTTAGTCAATTCACACACTTAAGTCACAAGTCAATTTTATTCGATGTTTCGAGTTATAATTTTAGTCAAAGTAGATTTGATAAACAACATTAAACCATTTCAATATTGAGTCGAAGTTGTTACTTCCATCTTGTGTTATACCACAATTTTCTGATCTTCAAACTGTTTTAGCACATATCAATATTATTCATCTGGCTACTTTTACTTACTGTTGCAACATTCTAGTGAATTTTTCACTTTTCAATACAGCATCATAAATCATCTTTCACTAAATTTTATTGCTGGACCGGCTGTAAATTATCGTCAAGTCAAGTCTCTCCAACAGTTAGTCAAGTCTGAGTGTTGTCATTTCAGTGGAGTCAAGGACCCGACTCTCCCCAACATAAGCCGAATCTTTATTCTTAAAACTTAACATTTTTATTTAAACTTTAATTTTGGATTTCACCTATCATAAATCTTCATAATGTCATATACAAAATTTTATTTAGGAACGTATGATAGTTAATTAATGGCTTGATACAGTTTTCAATAGCATAAAACATTTATATTAATGGTAAACATGTATGTTGTAACAGCTGCAACCATTGTAGTTTACAGGCAATGTTTATTATTTTGAGTGTTCTTACTACTTCTTTGCTTCTAGTATAGAACTATCATTTCCAAATACATGTATCGTTGTTGTTTCTGTATAATAGTTATTTATGAAGTATTGGAATTTGGAATACTTCATCAACACTGAATCGTTATCTATAATGCAGTCTAGTCTAGTGCACACATAATGCAAATATTTTTCTGTTTGAAAAAATATTTGCATTTGAATTGTTTTTGCTTGCTCATTAGAACATTCCGGATAATGGATGATGATGGTAACAAGAAGATAGATTTCAAGGAGTTTAAGAAGGGTTTACGAGATTATGGAGTTGATATTGAACCAGAGGAAGTTCAGGAAATGTACAATGCTTTTGACAGAGATGGGTCTGGGTCAATCGATTTTGATGAGTTTTTAGTGAGTTTGAGGGTAAGTATATGGAATATCTAATAAAATGTCCTAACTGAAATCAAAATGATATGCGGGCTTCAATTCAATTTGTGTATTACTTAAGTTAAGGTTCATATCAAATATACAAATACAAATTAATACCTTACTGTAATAAAAATAAAAATGATTTATTAACACATGTGTAGCCTACATGCTGTCATGGAAAAATGTTTTCAATAATTGAATAAAAAACATTACACTTAAGGTGTCAATATGTTGGTAATATTTCTTGATATGGGAATAGTCAAAAAGTTCTGCAATCTAAGTACATTGAGTTGTTAGAAGTGATTAATTACCACTCCTGGAGAGATTTGTATGGAAATGTTTCAATCAAAATCATATCTTTTTCAAAAAAAATGTCCATTAGGGGGGGACACAGCATTCAATTTCAAAGTAGCACATTTTTATCAATTTTGTATAGTAAATGTAAAAATGCACTTTAACATGTTATGAGTAGCAGACAAAATGTATATGATCTTCTATGTACCCATACATTTGTATTCAGCCACCTATTTCGAAAGCGAGGAAAAATCTCATACAGAAAGCTTTTCGAAAACTAGATAAAACAGGTGATGGAGTTATCACTGTAGAAGATTTGCGTGGCGTTTATAATGCATCGCATCATCCTAAATACCAAAATGGTGAATGGACTGAAGATCAAGTGTTTAGAACATTTCTCGATAGTTTTGACACACCAGGGGATGCCGATGGCGAGGTAGCTGTGCTATTCCTAATAATTTTGTTGTGGTTGATAGGTTTTTTCAAACTAACAATAAAACATGTGCTAAGCAGTCACTTTTGTACATTGTAAGGTTGTGTAATGTGGATCGGCCTGTGTAAAAGTTCGATTTTGGATCAATTGCTTATATTTGTGCAATTTTGTTGTGTTGAATGCAAATAAGTAAAACGTTTTATTCATGCGTAGAAGCATTTTCACATAGATTTTTTAAAGGTGATCCTGAAATCCTTGATTCCAAAACATTAAGAAATTACTTTTCACACAAGCTAACATGAACTGGTTCACTGAAGCAACCCTTTAAAACAAAATAATACTTCCCTGCCTTCTCAGGTGACATACGATGAATTCTTCAATTACTATGTTGGTGTGAGTGCTTCAATTGACCATGATGCCTACTTTGACGTAATGATGCGGAAAGCATGGAAATTGTAACGAATAATTAAGAAAGTACATAATGGAAGATTAGTTTCAAAAAGGCGGAGATAAAAATCAGGACGGAATCATTCGTAGGAATATCTTACCTAATGTATCACGTTATTCAACGTTTTTATATAGATTTGAAAACTGTGACAAACTTGTCTCAAGTGATTTTATATACCGGTATATGATATTGAAATTGACTATTTTGCACTTTCCATTTTTACTTTCAATAACATTCCATGTATATTTGCAACTATTACAATAAAACCTTAGCGTAATAAAAAAAAAGATTTTGCTGCTCTTCGGTTCATCATAGGACTGCTTGATTAAAACTACAAAATGTATATATACTTTGAGTGTGATATGCCTTTTTTATTTTTTTCCACTTTGTAAATGTTAACAGTTTTAATTATGTTATAATTAAATAAATTAGAGTAGTCTGATAGCTATCTAATTACCACAATATATGTTCTACTTTCTTTTTTGAGTTATTAAAACTCATTACTTGATAATAAACGGCAACTTGATTCAGAAAATCAATTAATTTCTTAATTAAATATGGAAATAGTCAAAACTTCTATACTTCAATTATATATCACACAACAATTTTTAGTGTTGCTAAGCACTAATATGTAGGCAATTGTTGTTAATTTTACCAATTTCAGTTGATCACCATCCTAGGACATGAAGCAGGATTTGGAATAATGCGTCCTATATCCCTTGTTATAATTTAACTTAACCGATAGATTGAATATATCAGTGGTAAACATGCCTGTTGTACGTGCATTTGCATATTGACGAAATTACAACCTATGATTACTTAGCTTATTATTAGTGTAACTTTCAATAAATGAAACATCTACTCTGACGTGACTCATTCAATGCCCCGGTTGTTTTTTCGGTATAATAAAAAATATTCGAAAAATACCTCAATATCGGTTGCACAGACTGTCTACAGTACTAGCCATATTCTCCCGACATGGTTCATTTTTCGCTCGCAAAGCCTTCGCCGAACGTCGACGGGGCGACGCCGATTTCGCCCCGGTTGCTCATTGTATATCGTATTCTCTCTTTTATCTTCCACTCGCCGCGTTTGTCTCGTTTGTTTTCTGTTTCTTTTACTAAATCATCGGGGCTAGCCCCGAAATTATGACGACACAATGCCGACGTTTCTTGCAACAACGTGTTGACATATTCACGCATTCCTTCTCGTTCGTTGGTTGCTTGAAGAGTTTATAGTTACCTCGCCTTCGTTTTTGTCGCTTGTTTCACTATTTGAATCAGTTAGAGACCTTTAGTCCATTTTCTTTCGATTTTCCACATTCCTTTTGAGCTCCTCACTTCTTTCCGGCTTCGCATTTCTTAGCCTTAGACCTCATAATGAATAAGGTTGATGCATTACTTCGCACTCCGTTTTCGCAGCTGCCGCTGGAACAAAAATTAGAGGTACAACGTCTTGGGCCTTATCAACCAAAAAATTGTTCACTGGAACAATCCCATGACGGAGGAAAGTGTCGGCGTACATTCTGCGCAGAAACTTGGTATGTTACAACGAGGACAAAAATGCACTTTTTTGTTTTTATTGCCTACTTTTTGCTACCGCCCGTGACTCACGTTGGTGTAAATTTGGTTATCTTTCCGAGCGTGCCAGGGATCATCAATCTTTATGGAGCATCTGGACAATGCAGTAAAATACCGAACATTCGGAAATGTTAATATTGCAGCACAGTTGGATGAAGGACGCGCGGTTTCTATTCGTCGGCACAACCAAAACGTTCAGAAAAACCCGCCATGTTCTCGGTCGATTGATAGATGTTTTGAAGTTCATTGGTTGTCACGAAGCTGTCCCTCCGTGGGCACGATGAACGGGCTGCCTCTTCTAATAGAGGGGTATTTTTGGATATGGTGGAATACACCGCATCCCTAGATACAGTATTGAGAGATCATCTTGATGCCGCAACTGTTTCGAAAGGGACATCTAAGGATATCCAAAATGATTTGCTCGACTCAATGTATAAAATTTATTTACAACATTTGGCTCTGGAAATTGAGAATTGCCAGTTCCTTTCGATTCAGTCAGACGAGACAACTGACATCACGTGCGTTTCCCACTGGCTGTGATTTTTCGGTTTGTGAAAGATGGTAAACCTACCGAGAGATTTCACAGCTTGTACCAATCGTTGATCGCACGGCTTGCGGGATATCGGCTGTACTGAAAGAAGTGTTACAGCCTTACAACGCGAAGTCAAATTGATAGCTCAAACTTATGACGGCGCGGCAGTCATGAGTGGGTCGAAACATGGTGTTAAGTTTTATATAAAAGAAGATTTTCCTCATGCGCATTTTTTACATTGTTATGCACACCAATTTAACCTCGTTATTAAAATATGTGTCTTGATACCCCTCTCGTCCGTATATTTTTTGCAAATGTTTCGGGGTTTTCTTCATTTTTTTCCGTTTCACCGAAGCGCTCTGACCTCCTTCGCCAGATGTGTAGCCGCCGTCTCCCAGCTTGTGCACCAACACGTTGGAACTTCCAATCACGCGTGGTGCAGGGCGTGTCCGAAATTAGGTCTGAGCTCATTGAGTGTTTCAATGGCATTCAGAGCTCTCCGGTTTGGGACGAACGCTCTGTGAGGGAGGCGGCAGGTCTAAAGCGTGTGCTAGAACAGTGGTTCCCAACCGCCGGTCCGCGAAGCTTTTCTGCCGGTCCGCGAGAAATTTTGTTGTTTTTATGCCATCTCAATCGCTTTACCGTAGACAACGTTGGTTGGCTCATTAGTCATTACCATTCTCTTCCTCCGAAATATTGCGACGTCTTTCGCGACATCTTGGCGCCGATCATTTACAGTTCTCGCCTTTTCGGCTCCGATTCATCGCGAATGCGCTCCATCAAATCTCGCAAAATTAAGAAGCCTAAAAATCGGCACGCGGGCTTTTTCTGTTCTGCCGTGTTTCCCTGATTAATATGACCAATCCATCATGAAACGTAATGGCATATCTTCCTTGTTTAAAACCCTGAAAACAGTCAAGAACAGTATAATATTCCAGTAAGATATGAACAGGTTGCGACCCCACAGGTGGTCACGAGACGCGCAAAAAAGCATGGGTCGCAGAGGTCTTTTTCAGACACAGTAGTTTTGAGCCTGTTGCCAAGTTATCGACAATTTTGTCATTGTAATCCAAATAATTTCGTTTGAGGCGTCGATCAACTGCGGAGGGATTAATATGATGAACCCAATGAAAAAGAAAAGGCTTGATTAAAATGGCGATTCTACTTTACATTCCAGATTAAAAAAGAATTACTTATCACAATTTTAGATGATAATGAATACCCATCGCCAAGTAATCGAGCAATCAAACTGTTGTTCGTCTTTTCAGCCAGTTAATGCGTTATGCGAAAAAAACATTTTCATCACTAGATTCAATTAAAACGAAGCAAAGAAATCGGCTGCACGCGGCTGTAGAGCTACGTGTTGCAAAAGCTTTTTTGAGGCCTCGTTTGCAATCTTATATTGAAAACGAAACAGCAGCAAAATTCTCACAGGAGTTAATTGTGCATGTTTTTGATGTGAGATATTTTGTGCGTGCCTTTTTTACGCATAATGGGTGCCCAGCACTGTATTTCATTACGCAAATATATGGTATTATTTTATGCCATTTTTATTTTTGGTCGGCACATTATTTGATAGTTTTTTTCCGTGTGAAATGTTTTTAAATGTGCTTTTTTGTCTAGAAGCATATTAAGTGCCCGACATTGCATTATATTGGGAAAATATATGTTATTATTCTCTGTTCCGGCCATTTCAATTTTTTGCCGGTCCTCGAGTACATTTTATCTAATTTTACCGGTCCGCCGGGGTAGAAAGGTTGGGAACCGCTGTGCTAGAAGATGGTGAGTTTTCATTTTTTCTCCACAATATTCTATCACGTGGATGTATTATACGGCGCATTGCAGTCAAGGCTAATGGATGGAGCGTCTGTGCAGTCGTGTATTTCAGACTTCTGCAATGCTGTATCTCGTATCCGGGAAACAATAAAATACGACGACACATGGAGTGCTTCTTTACGCCGCGGGCAAACAATGCAGCGTTTGATTTTGTCTGCAAAGGAATACTGTGACATTATGGTGAATCAAATAGGCGATCGTCTGCGCACTGAACACCTTCCTCTTTGATAAACCCCAAAAATTTTTCAAAATTTGCACGTCAATTTCCCATCCATTTGTTGGCTACTGTCTCTTTACCCCATGATAAACGTGGGTAAATTGGAAAATGAATTGCGATGTATATACACCAATCAAACTTTTTTGAACATCACATCAACTTGCGCGCTCTATGGGTTCCTCATAGATAACACTCTGGTAACTACCTTTGCGGCGTCTGCAAAATATCTGGACATCATTTTGACGACGCCTATTTCTTCCGCCGACGCAGAGCGAACATTCAGCACGCTGAAGCGTATTAAAACGTATCTCAGAAACACAATGAAGCAAGATAGATTAAATTCCAAGGCTGTTTTATCCATTCACAGAGACGTTATTTCTGGGATGCATGACTTTAATCAGCGCGCTATTGAGCATTTTGCTTCCAAGAAACCGCGGCGTGTTGCATATATGTTCAAGCAGTAGAAGTCTAGCTGCATATATATCTATGAGTGAGCGACGCATGTCCTTATCTTTGCATTAACTTTCCTTTCTTCATAGTAACGTTTTAAATCTTATTTTAGGTTTTGTCTGCTTTCCCGAAGTTTCTGTTAATATGTCATTGTATTTATCTGGGTAAATATTGCCTTTCCTTTTGAAAGAGGTTTCAAAATAAACTATGTCTATATTTATTAATCCCTCGACTTGGATCGGTTTTAAAGACACTTTATTATCGTTAAAAAATTGTCGCTTTTGCCGATTGGTTGTTACCGATGGAATGGTTTTTATACTCATAAAATGATGGGAGAACTTACAGCGCTCAACCTGTCCCCGTAGATGGGGGGTGACTTGGTCCCGCAGTAGCTTGCCCCGGTTGTCAAAATGACCACGCGCCGCCACTGGGGGGGAAGTATTATGATACAAGAATAAATCTACTATGTCCGACTAAGTTCTTCACGAGTCCGAGATAATGATTTCAATTAGTGAGACCTTATTGGTGTTATGTTTATTTGCGTCAAAATTGTAACAGTATCTGCATAATAATTAAACAGTAAAACAGAGGATAAGGTGCGGCACAACGGCGATATGTACAATAGTCAGTTTATTGTACGTCCATATCCCAGGTTCCGGTGTGAAAGGATGGAGATAGGGTATGGATCGCTGAAGTGATATTTTTTACACCAAGTCTCATATAGATGGACCTACCATACGTCACGGTCTAACCGGGACAGAATTTTACTTTAGTGAAATTTTCAAAATCAACTTTGCTTTAACTCGAGGCTTGTTTTAATATCTTAATTTTTTTAGCTTATCAGGTTGAGTAAAATATCGCGCACAGCTTGAGAAATCCTTCAGTTAGGGAATAATGAGTGACTTTCATTGCGTCATTATTCTATCGACTTCAATGAAACTACAGCAATTGCTGCATTAGAAGCCAGGTAGGTATTTTTTTTAGGTATGCTTGGAGTTGGAGAAGGCATAATAACTTTCATTCGATTTTGTTTGAGTCATATTATGCTGAAAATAATCTAGAACTTGAGATTCTGTAGAGTAATGTAGTAGGGCAAAGTAAGCTAACAGTACGGTGAATAGATTCTTTTTACAAATAAGCGCTAATTAAAAAGGTTTAGAAAGGCTACTACTACTACCCAGCTAAAAGAATTCTGTGAATCTGCGGAAATTGACTACAAGAAAGTTCTACAACACGGAAATACACGATTTCTG